TAGAACTAATTTTCTCTTTTTGTCTTTCCTCATGTCCTCTGAGGAATACCAGAAAGGAAGACAGGAGAAGCAAATGGGTGACATTGTGGTGGTGTGATTAATTTCATGTCAGATTTCTGAAGAGGCAGGGATTTATTTCTGGGTTACCAGACCTGTCACCTCCGCTGTTCCTCCCTTATTGAATTGCTTACATGAAGGTATCTCTTTTTTAAACTATCTGTGCAAGATTGATGCCATCTTAGATTTTATTGTCCCCTAAGGGTCTTGGGAGAATAAACCCCACAGATTTTAAGACTGCTGTGACTCAGTCTGGCTACAAACGTTATCTGGTTTTGATTGCAAGACAACTCTTGGATAATTTTTCTGAGCTTGGATATCTCCTTCCAGGGGCTTTCAAGAGCTGTTTTTCCTGGAATTTACAGAACCTAATGGGAGAAAAGGAATTCTCATTTGGACCTAGAAAAACTGCTTTGAAGAGGAGACTGCGGCTCTCTGAACCGGTGTCAGTGCTGTTGCTGAAAGCAGAGTGTTTTCACGAGCTGGTTTTTGGACCTCGTTTGCCATCAAGGTGCCAAACCTATCTGTCGGTAGGAAAGATTGATAAGAAATGGGATTGTTGGTCTGGTCATAAGATCAGCAGCTCACAGATATCTTCTGTGGCTCAGGCGTCAGCCGTGGAGGAGCAGCAACGTGAGCCTGACACCAGTCTCACCTGCTCCTTTGTTCAGACTGTTCTGGACAGTTTTATTCAAACCAATGGTTTATTATCCGTGTCATGCTGCTGCTTTGGGAAGCTGAGGAGCGGAAGGGAGGCTTGGAGTTCTTTGCAGACTTAGCACGATACCACCACAGACTCATATTTGGAAGGTTACAATTTCCATTGTTTTAATTTTACACAGAATTTATTTCTGAGGGTTAGACTATGTCCTTATGATTGATTTCTAACTTTTCAGGAATATTGCAATGGGCAGGGAGGCGGTTTCCACAGCAGGCTGTCCAGCTGCTTGTTCTGATGACTGGATTATATTATGGCAATTTACTTGAAGTGAATGGCGAATAAAATGTGTACTAGGTGGAAGTGGATAATTTAGGGCCAAGGTGGAATTTGGCTGCAGGTTGCCAGTTGGATAGTTTGTGTCTTGGAGTATTAACTGCAGCCCTAGAAAAATGAAGTTGTTCTGTCTGTTACTGCAGAGGAGCAGGCCTCTGCCCTTACACCTTCTGGGACAACCAAAGGGTCAAGTAGTCTTTTTTTAATTAAGTGTAGGGAGAGTCCGGTGTGTTCTGCGGTGTCAACGCGGAGTTACGAGCCAGAACTTGCTTTCACTGGGTGGGAGAGGTCTCGCCGCGTTGTGAGGAAGTGCCCCCGAAATCCTCCTGCGTGTCCAGGGGGGTGAAGTGGTGCCTTGCCCGTGTTCTTGCCAAGGCCCTCGGAGAAGGCAGTTTCTCAGCGCATGTTTGCACGCGTGTGTGTGAGCTGTCAGTAAATCTTTATTTTTAGTGTTCTGAAAATGGATGAACATGGACGCACGCAACAAATCAATTTCCAGCGTAGAAGAGCAAGAGCTCCTGCAACGTTCCTTCTCCTACAAGTGTTGTTACAGATTTCTCCCTGTCACCAGTGCGCCGTTAAATTCCAGCCTTGCCTTCCGCAGGTTAAGCAGCGCTTTGGTTGAACTCCAGAAGGAAAAGGAGGGCTTTCTGCTCACTGAGGAAGCTGTGCAGATCCATTTCAACTGAGTTTACAAATGAAGAGTTACAAATTTTGGTATTTTGGAACATGTGGCATCCAGGCACACATCCAACATACGCATCTTACTAGGCACAGAAATATATATTCATCCTAAGCCATGACTTAATGATGCCCAGTGACTTTACTGGGTGGTTGCAGGATGTGAGGAAAGATGCAGCGGAGATGGACAAACACATCCTTGTGCGTGGCCGCCGACGGCGGTGTGGGGTGTTTGGCATGGTGAGGGTGGGCTCAGCATGTGTCCCCCCGCTGGGTTCCACTGGGTGATGCATGCTGTGCTCACCAGGTATCCCTTAACCTCCAAAACACTGGTGTGAAGTACTAAAATCTCAGTCAGTAGGTTCGCAGCCCCTGTGATGTCAGGAGAGTGGCGTGTCTGTCTGGAGCTGTATAAACCCAGCCCTCAGTGTGGGGTGTAGGGTACCCAGTGCGTAATGGATACTGGTTTCTGGAGTTTAATGGCTTTTCTCATTGGATTTTTGGAACGGTTGTAGCTAGGTTGGTCTTGTGTCAATAATGATGAATTTTTAGAGAATGATGTGAGAACTTCTACTCTGTAGCAGGGGTTTACACCAGGTGTCTCTTGCTGAGCCTTCTGGATGGCAGCTGAAGCGTGGAGATGGTTTGCAGTGCACTGCCTGCTGGATGGGAACAGCCGATCACGGGGATTTCCTGAAGAAATAGTTAAGTAGGATGTGCACTGGTTTATCCTTTGTCTCTGGAACTGTTCCTGCCTTTAGGAATTGCATGATCAGATCAGTTAAAGGCATGTAGCTTTCACAGAGGGTAGAGTACAGTTCAGTTGTCCGAGTTCTACTAAATCACTCTGTCCGTGAGCCATAGGAGTCAAATCAGCTGAACGACCGGCCTGTCAGCACTCTGTGCATACTAATTAATGAGAAAAACAACCGTGTCACTTAGCAGTAATTAGGAAGGTAGAACTTTCCAGAGGACGCTGCCAGTTCCCCTGATGTCAGCTGTGAAGAGCCTGTGGTGGTGCTGAAACATTCCCCTTCCTGCGCTGTCAGGCGGAGTTCCCTGGTGTCGTCAGGAGCTCTGAAGCTGTAGTTTTGTCCAAAGCTCCAGCAGCAGGAGCTTTAGTTTTGTGAATACTCTTAGAAGCAAAAGAATCACTTCCTGTTGAAGTCGTTGAAGTGCTCTTGCTTTGGCTTCAGGTCAGACCTCAAGAGATGTGCCTCCAAAAAACCCCGCTGCTTTTCCTGCCCTCCCTGCTTGGCCGGAGCTGTCGGGGCAGGGAGGAGACGCCAGCAGATGCCATCGGTTTCTGGTTTGGTGTGTGTGTACTGACAGGTGATTTTGGCAATTCCTGGTTACGTCTGCAGCCATTTTTATTTGATTGTGTCAGGAGTCTCCAGCGCTGCAGTAACGATGTTGGCTGTGATTTGTGGGCAGCTGGAACGGTGGCAGGAGGAGCTGCAGGCGTGGGAGAGTGGCAGAACCTGCACTGGGCTGCACTGGGGTGCCTGGCTGGTGTCACTGCCCGCTGGGACGACACAGCCTCATCCAAGGTCAGTCTTGGCGGTTTTGTGTTAGGAAAAGCTTTCCCTTTGCTCCATGTGCTGTGGACTAGCTTGGCTCTGGAAATATGAGAGAGAGCCTGTGATTTCTGGGGAGAAGTGGGAGGGGAAGAGCTTTCTGAGTTGCCTGTTGTGTATAAAATCCCTTAGGAGACGGAGAAAGGAGCGTTCCCACCGCTGGCGTCTCCCCGCTGCTGCAGAGCGTCCTGGCTGTTCAGCCCCAGGTACACGTGCTGCTCCAGCACTGAAGTGCGGCAGGGGACCATTGGCCAACTCGGCTGAGATGCCGGAGACCTGTAGAGGATCTGTGTCAGCTCTGCTGAAATGTAGCTATTATGGGTCTGAACAAGAATGAAGACCTAGCTGTGACAGAGCTTCTGCTAGGAGAGCGCGTGGGCGGGCACCCGTGCTACTGCCGGGGCAACCTGGAGAGCGTCAGCCGTGGTAGACACTGCTGCTTTCACAGGTGTGACGTGGGGGAGTTCAGTTTTCCCCAAGACTGTGGAGGTTATCGTAAAATACGGAGTTACAGGAAAACCATTTTGTGGTCAGTCCTGTGACTTCTGTATAGATTGTGATCCTCATTACAAGGGATGACTTCTTCGTTGGCAGGAGCTGCGAGGAATTCAGGGGAGGAATCGGTGAAGCTGCTGAAGGAAGAACCAGCCCCAATTTTAGGACATTGCTATGACAGAATTACTCCAAGATGTTTCTTCCAGTTTAACTAAACCTGTCAACTGTTCTCCCTAGTGACTGGTCATGTCTTGTTTTGAATTAATCACGACTGTTCCTGTTTCATTTTTTTTTAAGAGAATGTTGAGGTCGTTATATATCATGATTTGTTATTTCTCCGCAGCCGGACGCAACCAGCTATTTAAAAGAAATCTGGAAAATAATTTTGGTAGAAAAATGTAGTTAGAGCAGACTGTGCTGTTCCAAAAAACTACCAAGAGAAAAGCTTGATTTCAAACCTAAGCTTTTTTTTACCTCAATTAGATTTTAAAATCTGTTTTTCTATTGATGTTGTCCCTTTAGTAGGAAAATGGCCTTCAAGAAAGGAAGTAAAATGTCAGTTTTGTTAATCCAGGCTTGTTTCTATTTCAGCTATAAAATCATAGAAAAATACGGGTTGCAAGGGACTTCTGGAGGTCATCTGTTCCGTACTCGTATTGCTGCAGTTCCAGCACCATGAAAATACACAGATCAGTTTCTTTTGTGAGATAGAACGTATTTTTTATAAAGTTGGTTACTATTGTTTCTTCTTTTAGAAGTAAGCTGGGTTTTGATTGATGTTGGCTGCGGGTAGGCTGGACTGTAGTATTTGAGCGTGTCTTGATCTTCTAATTTCAGGCGTGTCTGTCCAGTACTAGATATTCTCCAAACTCTGAACAAGCGAGTGCTCCTTCCCTGGGAGGCTTGCAGGCAAGGGATAAATGGCTATGTGAGGGAAATCGTAATCAATTTTATCTGATAATTGTAATGCTTGCTCTCATTAATAGAGCACATTGTATGCTCGTGATTTCAGAGGCTGGGTTTGAGCCACTTGCTGTGAAAGGTAATGTCTCGCTTGCAGTTGTGGATAAAAGAAAGGAATAACCTTTTGATGTCAGGCTACTTACTGCAATTCTGCTCTTCTCAGCTGACAGAGGGCTTTTTTTTTTGGTCTGTCTTAGCCTCTTTACAGTCTTACTCTGTCACAACTGCAGCTGGTAATGAGCTTACGTGGGGAAAGCAGAAGTGAGAGGAAAGTGTCTAGACCTGTTTGCCCAATTTGTGCATCTTGCCTTCTCTTTGGGCTTGTCCAGGATGGTCTATCTGGAATTGATAAAGTGACAGAAATGTTTTCTTGGCTCTTTGGGTTTGGCTTGGTGCAGTGTGGGGCCTGTGTCGCTCCTTCGGGAGTGCTCTCTGCTAACCGAGCCTGTATTCAGGTGAGTCATGGGTAATGACCGTGTTTATGGGGTGTTGAGTGTAGTTCACCGAGTTCACTCTGCTCTGTCGGGATGAACTTGGAACTCCCCAGCAACATCCTGCGCACGCTGAGGGCGAGTGGTGCTGCTAGCAGCAGTCCACAGGGAGGTCGCTGTCTAGCGGCGCTCGTGTTCTTGGGTGCATTATTTATACTCCAAACCTTTTCCACAAAGGTCATCGCTTGGATAGCACTTGCAGGTTCCTCGGGACATGGCGCTTCTGGGAATCTCTTGGCGCCTGGTTCACTGGGAATCTGTATGTGCACTGTGTCGCACTGGTGTGGCTTCTCAGGTTCAGGGTTCTGAGTAACCGTGGGCTGTGCCAAAAACATTCCCATTTAAAAGGAGGAAAAGAAAAAGATTCCAATATCTCAGTTATTCTTGACTGGAAAAAAAAAAAGTCTAGGTAGGTTTGTTTCTCAGGAACAGATTTACACAGATTTCTTAGCTATGTTTTGTTGCTTCTTGCTGTAAGTGGATACATCTGGAAGGACAGTGGCTGTAGGAAATTCCTGTACTGGCTGGTATAGGGTGCTGTAAGTACGGACACTCGACAAGAAACCAAGTCCTCCGTGGGGCAGGGGTTGCCCCTGGGGTTAGAGTGCGTTGTAAGGGTGATAAAATCCCTTTTTAAAAAGGAGGGGGTAGTAACAGTGGTTTGAATTAAAATGTTTAAAAAATCAAATTCAAAGTAAGCAGTGAGAGGCTTTTTACCATTTTATTGCAGTTTAGGCAGAAAAAGTCTAGCCTACCAACCTGCTCGGACAATAGGCTACTGCTAGAATAATTCAAACTTTTAAAGTCTGACCTCTTTTAATTAATAGACCTTCCAATTAAAAAATTCCTATATGGTGGTAGCACAGTTGTTTTGGTGTCTGTACTGGGGCTCTTGGGCTCTCCTGCAGAGTAATTATCAGCAGTACATGCAGCGCTGTGTTTTGCTGTGTTCTTGTGATTTATTTATTTTTTTGTACGCAGGATGAGCAGGGTCTTGTGGGGTGCCCTTGATAAGGATGCTGTGTAATGGATTAGCTCATTATCAGTTTGCTAATACTTAAAACGGTGTTTTTAAGGGCAGGCCCCGGTGGCAAAACCGAGCACTGACACTTGTGTGTCATTTCGTAGAGCTACCGTGTGAGCTGTGGTTGTTAGTGTCTTCCCGAGGGGTGTCACCGCAGGGGCTAACAGAGGAGCTGTTTTCTGTCCCTGCGTGGACAAGCCCCAGCACTGAGCAGTGTGTGTCAGGAGGTCCCTGGGAGCTTTGTCTTCCTCTCTCTGTGACCTCTGGTGTGTTGCTCATGGTTGTGTTTCCTCGTTGAGCACTTCTTTCCCAGAGAAATTTAAATTTTCAGAGTTGCATTGTAGTTTTTGGAGATGCTCAAGACTGCACTGGGCTTGGCGATCTGATCTGATTAGATCTGCTTTGACTAGATTACTTTTAGCAGTCTCTCCCAATATAAATTATTCCGTGATTCTGTCATTAATGCAGGAATGAATAAATGACATGTTCTGCAGAAATAAAATGCATCCTTTACAACAAGCTCAGGACACTCATCTAGGTGTAATCTCTGCTCATACTGTAGATTTTCTACCTTAAAACTGCAAACTAGACGGACTTCTGTGTGACCACGCCTGTCCCCGTTATTCGTCCCTATTTGTGTCGGACCCTTCTCTCAAAGTGCTTGGATCCGCTGCAAAATTATCCCTCTCTAGGCAGAATGGAAGCAAAATACAAACAAATTCCCTAGCAGCTTTGAGCAGGGAGAATGAGAAGCTTTCAGGCAGCGTAAGTTTGTATATGTAAGTGACTTTGTTTGCTTTAAAACCAAATTATCTGTGCAGACTCTCTCCTCTTCCTGTATAAAGAACAGTAGACGGTAATACCTGCCTTCGTGAATAGGCATTGTGTGCCATTCTTAGAAGCTACCGTCGATAATTTCCTGAAAAAGCCCTTCTCTGAGCAGCTTATTACAACATCCAGCTTGTGCTAGGCTAGAGCTACGTGACAAAAAATATCCACTCTGAAATTTGAGCTATCTTTAGATAATGTGATTGATTTTTTTTCTTTTTCATTATTTTTTTCCTGTGCTGAAGCTGATCTTGCTAAGCTGGATGAGGTGGAGCAGTCATGTTCTTTATTGATACCAAGTTGTGCTTAAAAACGAGATTTGCTAAGTCATCTTAGATGTATATAGGTTCAATGAATGCCTACAGGAGTGTTGAGCAGATGAAATTACCCAGTGCATCTCCTGTCAGGAGGACACATGGAGCGAGGAGAAACAAAAACACAATGATTAAAGTTGAAGTCTAATAAATTTCACTGTGCTAAAAGTGTTCTAGTAAACTCGCATGCTCTGTTAATGCCCGAGTACTCTTTTGGAATATACAGCTGATTACTGAGTGTCTGAGTCATGCCACGTAAATGGTTTGAGGTCTTAGATGATTGCTGCCTAATCGTCTGAAAGTGTATTTTATTAGAGGACTGACATTTTGTCCAGGAATAGGCTATTTTCTTTAGTGATACTTCATATTCTTCTGTTAGCTCAAGTGCCCCATCCTTCCATTATTGGGCTGAGACCTCTGTTGCAGACTCTGGAATGGTGCCGTGTCCCTTTTTAACCTTGGGGCTCGATTCCTGCAACCCTCTCTACCTGGAGCTGCCTTCAGCCCTGTTTGTGTGTCAGTAGGTCAAGAAACACCCACGCTGCCGAGGTCCGTACCACCTCAGGAGGCTTAGTTCACGCCGGTGAGAGACCTCGCATGCGTTTCTGCCTCCCAGTGCGGCACTGGCTGCTGGCCAGGCTGGTGACACGGTGGGGGACATCAGGCCTGCGTCCCCCAGATTCTCAGCCATCCTCATAGCCAGCGGTTCTCACGGTGGTCTGTGCAGCCGGCTCAGGTACTGCAGGGCTGCAGGAAACAACAGGATGCTGCCGATAGAGCAGGTTCTGCTTCTAGAGTTTTGTTCTGATGTGACGTGTCCCAATAGCCTAAGCTAACTGCTCGCAGCAGATTTCTAGGTCTTTGATTAATGGGGCTGTTACTTCCTCCTGCAGTCCAGCATTTGCCCATTTTCTGTGAAGGCCCAGGATCAGCGTAGCAGATGGATACGTTGCATTCACTTAGATGCCATCGTTGCCCACTGACTGAGCCTGTCTCTGAGCAGGCTGTATAGTCTCCGCCGTATGCTGCCCACCAAACAATGCTCTCTCATGCTCCGGTACAGCTTCCTTCCTTGTAAGTTGTTTTGAAAGCCGACAAAGAGATTCTTGTGTTTAAATGTTTAGAAGTGTGTCAGCTTTCACTCGTGGTGAAAGATTTGAGAGGTGCAAAGGCACTGCTTCTATTTTAAGCCGGACAATACTTCGGTATAAAATTGTCGGAAGCTATTGTTGTCTTAAATATTCAGAAATCGGAGTATTTGTCTTTGACCTACAGTAACTTTCTTTTGAGTTATTTTGGCTGGTCTCAATACTAGTAAAACTTAACAGACATGCTAAGATCACGTTGTAAGGAGGAAGAAGTGGAGGTGCTTACTAAATCCTTTGGACAAGCAGAATGCAAAGAAATGTCTGTGGGCTGTTGCAGCAGAATCTTTCTGTCGTGTTTGGATAAAGCGTCATGGTCCAACACAGATACCACTGTTGTTTGGACAATCACATTTCATGTCTTGACTACAGAAGGCTGTGACCAAAACTGATTAAAAGATCCACCCCTGCTCTGCCTTGTCCATCCACTGGGAAACGCAGGTGCTAACCAAAGCATTTATGTACAAGGCGAAGCTGGTCAGCGCAGGAGCAGGTTTCTGGAGGAGAGCAGAGAAACCTAGACGCTGTGTCAGAGCATGGATCTTCTCATTTTAGGCACCCTCCCACCCATGTATTACTGTTCACGCTTGTATAAAACAGCGTCATGCCATTTCAACACAGTCACCCACACTGCTCTCCCCGCCAAGTGAAAATGGAAATGTTTTCACCTGAAAGCAGCATCGGGACCAAAATGTTACCAGGTTGCGAGTAAATCCCAAAGTTCTGATTTAACTGAAAATCGCTGTTTCTAGAAGTTGAATCTTCAGAAAGTGCTTTCGTGAGGTTGCACAGGTGACCTGGCTGATCTCTCAGTTCTGCTTACAGCATTGTTAAGACATGAGGGTTTTGCAACCTGGCGTGAACAAAGCGTTTTGGTTACATGGGATGGCCCAAGACTTCTTCCTGGCTGGGGGAGAGATTGCAGCCCATGGCTGTTGCTTTTGCTCTGGAGCTGAAAGGAAGGAGTCTGTCTGCAGATACAGAGCACGATGTGTTTCTTCCCTTCTGGAAAGTTGTCTTTGCAACCATAAGTTGGAAACTACACGCTGAAAGTTGCAGGGGGGAGGGGTACTTTTGCTGGTGGAGCCAAGGGGTCCTGTCCTGCGTGAGGGAGAGCAGACAGACTGCAAGCTCTGACAAATGATCCCAGGCCTGTGGCTGGACTCCAGCCTCTCCTTCTCAGCTTTTAATGATTAACTTAAATATTTTTATAGTATCTTGAGATTTTAACCTCTGGTTTATTTTCTCTCTACAGTTGGAAGAATCTGAGGCCTTTATCCTCTGTCCGGATTCGCAGTGCGGGTAGCCTCTGATTTCAGACATCTCATCATTTCCACCTGCCAACCTGTCTGATATGTCGGGACCCGTGCCGAGCAGGGCCAGAGTTTACACGGATGTGAACACACACAGACCCCGGGAGTACTGGGACTATGAGTCGCATGTTGTTGAGTGGGGGTGAGTCTCTGAGCTGCTTACGGGTGTCCCTGGACCGGGATTATCCCTGTAGGATCCTGCGTGGTGGTGCAGGGGGAGCTGAGGCACCTGTGCTGTGTTCGGCTTTTTCATGCTCTTTGGCATGTGTCTAGTGCGCATGGCAAATGTTAGGATCACAGCTTTTCTTTGGAAGAGTGTTTCTTGTCAAAATTTTAAATCCCCAGCAGCACAAAAACATGCAGCTCCCTCAAGAGTTTGTTTTGAAAACATTCTGCTAGGTAGTCAGGAAACTTATCCTTTCAGGGGTAGAAAATCTGTATTGGAAACAGTCTAACCAGCCCTGGGAGTGGGGTTGGAAAGAAGTGAAAAGGCATCTGATGGTGGTTCTGACTGGGGTGAGGGAAGAGACTTAGCAGACCTAAATAGACACTATTTTGTGACTTGTTGCTCAGCTCTCTGCGAGTGCCTGGAAAAGACATGCCTGCTTCTTTTTGAAGGAAGGAGGTGTCTAAATTGAGCTCATGACTAAACCGTCCAAGAATCAGACAGCAGTGGTGCCAGCTTCATAGCTCCGTGGTCCTGCTTTTGTGTAGCAGGGCCCAGGCTAGGTTCTGCCCTGAGCTTTGCTGCAGTTCCTGGTTTCTGAAATGTACACAGTCTCGCGTGTACGTTTCAAGTGGTGCTTTGCACTGAGTCTGTTTTTAAACAGGCTGACACTTCAATTTTTGGTTTTACTGGCTTTGTTGATTTTTAAAATTATACATGGAAAAATGTAGCTTCCAAATATATAGAGACTGGTGGAAGGGATAACTCGAGTTTGCTGATGCTGAAATGCGTAGTTGGGCTTACGTTAACTGCAGGAGAAATAAGTTCTGGATTGAATCTGCCTTGGGCGAGTGGAAGCTCCTTGTTTCTCTCCTGGTTCTTAATAATTGCATTCAGGAGATGTGAGACACTAGTTAATCCACCTTGTCTGGAAGGCGAGGCAGTGATTTAGTGTTAAGGAGAGGTTTGTAAATTGTGATGGAAATGACTGAGCTCTTTTTATCTCTGCAGAAATCAAGATGACTACCAGCTAGTTCGAAAATTAGGCCGAGGCAAATACAGTGAAGTATTTGAAGCCATCAACATTACAAATAATGAAAAAGTAGTTGTTAAAATTCTCAAGGTGAGCTGGGGATTGGGCGAAAGATAAAATCTGTCTTGAGGTGATCAGGAGGCCAGAAAGTGCAGCATTTAGCCTAATATGTTTGATGTTCTGAAACTGAAGTCCTTAGAGCCTGGCTTTGGACTGCTGTTGAGTGACATGGGCTGTCATTTTGAGCCTCCTAATAGAAGCCCTACGCTTGGTTATTAACTCAAATCTCTGCCAGTAGGAAATTGGCCCCTGTCTTAAGTCCTGATGTGCAACATGTTCTTACTTGGAGCTAAATAATACTTCAACAGCTGACCAGAAAGTTCTCCCCTCCTCTGACTACCAGTGCCCTGGCCTGCTGTCACGTGCATAGAGCCTGTGGGCTGAGGGGATCGTTGTTCTTTAAAGCCACTGATTAAATTTATGGACTGCCAACCTTAACACTTTCATTTCTGCTCTGCATGTTCCATTGGAGATGTCCTATCCTTCCAGATTGAGTAAAAGTCTCCTGGATGCTGGTTATTCCACAGCCTCGGTTGGTGAAATACCTTCATTTAGGGGCCCTCAGATCATGGGCTTTTCTTAGTTAGACATTTACCACATGCCAGTTAATAAGTTTAGGGCTATCAGATCATGTTCAGACAGCATTTAAAAAAATGTGCCATCTTCCTAATCCTCACTCATGTGAAACTAATGTTTGGAGCTGTCAGGGTTGTATCGTCAGGAAGGAGACTGCAGTTATTTGAGCCCTTGATGGAATGATGCATAGTCAGGTAACAGCAAAGTCTAGCTGTCTGAACTTAACTTGCAGAGGCTCTGCTGTGTTTTACTGACTTGCAGTCACCTGCCTTGGTCATCTGGGCATTAGGCTGTCTGTTAGCCTCACTTTGCAGGAGTGCTTTGTCTTACACTTAGGGTTTTTGTTCTTCAGCCTGTCAAAAAGAAGAAAATCAAGCGTGAAATCAAGATCTTGGAGAACTTGCGAGGCGGTCCCAATATAATCACTCTTGCAGATATAGTCAAAGATCCTGTGGTGAGTACGGAAGGACTCTAAAGGGCACACTGGGGTTATAGGTGAAGTTGCTGTGTTTGACTTCAGCTCTGATCTAGCTTTTTGTTTTCCCCTCCTCTTAAATCCTACTTTTCAATTGCTTAATCAGATCAGCTCTTAATCTGATTAAGTTCTTTTAGAGGGCCCTTCCCCCCCAGGTCCCTGCAGCCCCTCAGTCTGTAAGGGTGAGATACCAGCGAGCTGTGACAGGTTAATTCACTCTGCAAACAGTGCTGCTGGGGGCTGCAGGCTTTGGCTCTGCTTTCTCTGTCTGAGGGGAACCAGAAGTGTGTCTGAGGCAGAGGGGCTTCTAGCAGTTTTAGGAGTAAAAATGGTTTAATTCATTATCCTAAATGAAAACATATTATCTCAACGTAACATGGCTGAACACTTTTCTCTCTGTTTTAGTCTCGGACACCCGCTTTGGTTTTTGAACATGTAAACAACACAGACTTTAAGGTACAGTGTGGGATGTGAACTTGTGATGTTTTCCGTTTGAAAGCCACTCGTAATGTTATTCTGGGGAAAGGCCAGTACATAGAGGGCAGACAGGTTATTTAATCATTTCCTGCCAACATAGCAACTGTCTTTAAAGGTAAATGCACTGGGGACAGAGGTTTGTAAGTAGTCATTTAGTACCATTTTGCCACAGAAGTTGCAAGATGAGAATCCAGATTCCAAGTGTATTCTGACCTTTGGAGCACATTAATCTGTTCTCGTGTAGACCATCAGTGCCTGCCATTTTGAAGCATTTTGCTTTTATGTCCACTTTAAATGTGGACAGCTCTCTGTGGCTTCCCATACTTCTGGGAAAAGGGATTTAAACGTTTCTTTGTCCCCTTCCCTACTGACCTGCCTCAGGAGAACGGTTGTGCGATGCCATCTGGAGTAGCTGCTTAACGTTGCAGAGCACCCTCGGTCTTTTTGAGACCCTGTCTGCACGCGTAATGCAGCGTGCTGGTGGTGGGCCAGTGCAGCCTGAGGGAGTCAGTGACACAAACCAGAGTAACTTTTACTCTTCCCTCAGAGCGGTTTGGAGAACCACAGCAGCAGTGGCCAGGGCTGGGTTGGTGGGGATTGGTGGGGATGTGATCTTTTTCTTGGGTGTTGAGCACTGATATGATGTGTTTGTGTCCCACAGCAATTATACCAGACATTAACAGATTATGATATTCGATTCTACATGTATGAGATTTTGAAGGTAAGTTGGTTGCTGCTTTGTCAATTTATTTCTACAGTTTGCACTCAGCTAATCCTACAGAGGTGGTTATCGTGATGGGAGCATGTGAGATGAAGTTAAAATACTTCTGTTACTGGAACCTCCTTTTAAGAGGGGGCTCTAGAAGCACTTTCTGTGGTCTGCGAGTCTGCTCCAGGGTATGGCACTAGACAGTCTTGCAGTCTAGTTTGACTTGGTGTATGTGGAAATACTTCTGAGTATGATTGAACTCGAAACCTTCTTGTAACTCCAGCGTCTGTATCTTTGTACGTCACCCCCAGGCTCTAGATTACTGCCATAGCATGGGAATCATGCACAGAGATGTCAAACCTCACAACGTCATGATTGACCACGAGCACAGAAAGGTAATAATGGGGGAGGGGGGTTGGGGGGCAGG